TCATTAAATTCCATGAAGCTTTTGAAACCTAGCCCCCCTCGAGCCTTCGAGAGTCCGAGAGTTTCCTTGGATACCCATTGTATATGTTTCTTCCTCTTACCATGCCCCTACCAGAAATTAGTAATCAAGGAATCCATTTCTTTGCAAATTGTGGCAGGAAACTTGAACAGGTTCATCGAATAGGCCGGTATAGCCTGAACCACCGCCTTAATCAAAACGTCTCTGCCAATCTACGATAAGATAACATGCTTCCATCCCTGTATTTTTCCCAATATCCTGTTCTTAACATAAGCAAGCCCATTTCATTTTTCTCTCCCCCACATGGTAGGCACACCAAGGTAAGTTCCAGGATTATCAACAATTGGAATTCCAAGGATACAACCAAGCTCTTCCGATAAAACCGAGGGAACATTAGAACCGAAGAACACACTAGACTTTTGAAGACTTGTTGCTCCGAGGCCTCACAATACTCCTTAATTAATTTCACAAGATTACTACAATTCTCTTTGTCAGCTTTGATAAACAGTAGGGTATCGTCCGCTAAGAAAATTTGTTAGATAGTAGGCTCGTGAGGATTGATTTGAACCCCCGAAATATCCTATTTTTCACAAGCCCGCATAATGAGCAGGGAGAGGAGCTTACTGACAAACAGGAAGAGATAAGGTGATAAAAGATCGCCTTGACGAAGGCCGCGCAAGGGAGCAAATTTCTTCTCAGGTTTACCATTCAGCAGTATGGAGAAGTTAACCGATGAAATGCATCTGAGAACAAGACTGCACCAATTATGACCGAACCCCATTCTCTCCATGACTGCCAATAAGAAATCTCATTCCACCCTATCATAGGCCTTATGCATGTCCAATTTTACACCTAACTCAAATTTCCTGCTTGTTCTTCGCCTTTTGAGGAAGTGGAAGAGTTCATATGCAATAGGGGTGGGCACGGGCCGGGCAGGGCTCAAATTTGGAGGGACCTGTCCGGACCCACTTAAAAAGGAAACAGGACCGGCCGGGTCGGGTATTGTAAATCTAATAACAGGAATCGGACCTAACCCGGCCCGTTTGAAACGGGCCGGTTCGGGACGGGTCCACGGGTCCTCTTACTTTTTTTTTTCCGGTTTTGACTAACAGAAAGAAGGCAAAACTCAGAACTTTCTCGACCTCCCTCTCTCTGCTTCGCTGCACTGAGGCACACCACCACCACGACGAACCTGCAAACAAATGGGATCTGGGTCAAATGCAAGTTGTGGGCCAAAATGGGATATGCTTTAAATCATACTATACCAAACATTTGAAATTTTAATTCATATTCTGGTTTGCCAATTTGAACAAGATCTAAAATTTCTATTCCAATGGTGTTTTAAGTCTGGTTTTCCAATCTGAACAAAAGCCTCCAAGTGACCTGACTTCATCACTTGGCAGCGTAAATAGATCAAAGCAAGTAAAGTCCATTAACAAAAGTAAACGATGAGGTTAAGTCAAACATTAGCAACATAAACAGATCTAAACAACAAAAGCAACAAAATTTCATCACAAACTAATCAATTCGAGTCGAATTGAAATTCAATTGAACAACAAGACTTCAAAAAATCCAACAAAACCCACCAAGATCCAACCTTTTCAACTCAAAAATCAAATCCCACATCCAAAACAACCCCAATTAAGATCCCAAGTTTTCGAAACCCGAAAGTGATTCTTACAAAGCAATCGTCGTCGATGGTGTAAATGTACTTCTTCTTGGAAATCATGTAGCCGAAGCATCTGCAAGTAGAGTCCTTGAAGGAGATGCAGGACGCCTTGGGACCCAGAATCCGGTTGATGTCGTTGTGGTTGTAGAGCTCGTAGTCAAATCCCTCCGGGACCTTGATCACCTTCGACGGGTCGCCGTCCTGGACGATGATAAGGTGGTAATGCTGGAAGAAAGGCCTCAACATCTCGAGGAAATAGAGGTTTCAGATGGTGAGGATGACGATGAGACGGTGAGAGAGAATTGAGTTCGAGGACTCGAGTGACAGAATCGAGGTCGAGGACGAGGAGACCTAAAACTAACGGTTAAGATTGGATGGTGAGATGATCTCTTAAATCTCGTCCGTCCATTGCAATTACAAACGGGCCGGTCTGGGTACCCGTTTTTCTATACTTTTGGAACCGGCCCAAACTTAAAATTTGAAAGCCCCGCCCCGCCCCGCCCCGAATCTTGATTACCCGCCCCGACCCGTGGTTCTTGTACCCGTTTGCCCACCCCTAATGTGCAATGCCAATATTGTCCTGAATATGCCTTCTAGCAACAAAGGCATCCTGCAATTGAGAAATTAACTCTGGCAAAAATGGTCGAAGTCGATTCGCCAATACCTTCGACAATATTTTATAAGAATAGTTACAAAGGCTAATAGGTATGAATTGAGACACAGATTCCGGGTTGGGGACTTTAGGAATGAGAACTACATGGGTGGAATTAATTCGGGTAGGACTACTATTACCCATCATGAGATCATTAACCAACCAAATAACCTCTTCCTCAATGCTTCCCTAGAATGACTGATAGAAAATACATTGGAATCCATCAGGGCCAGGAGCCTTCAATCCCTCTATGTGAAGCGTTGTTTCCTTGATTTCCTCCATTAAGATTGGGACTTCAAGTACAGAGTTCATTTCGGTAGTCACCTTTGGCTAGATACACTCCAAAACTGTTCCCTAATCTCTTTGGCCCACTGACGTGAAGGGTTGACAAAATAAGCATCGATGGTTTCCTTGACTCTCCTTGGACATTCGATCCACACTCTATTTTCATCCTTGATTTTAAGCACCTTATTCCTCCTACACCTCTACAAGGTAGATTGGTGGAAGAAATTAGTGTTTGCATCCCCCTCTTGAAGTTATTTCACTCGTGATCTTTGTTGCCAAAAACATTCATCATGCCTCCTCAACTTATCTACCTCCAAAGAAAGCTCCTCAACTTGTGCTTTATTCTTTCCCCAATCTTCTTGTAATTTCCCCACGTGTATCACCATATCCTCAATTTACCTCCCCCTGAGCTTGAATTTTTGCCTACTTTAGTCGATCAATTTGGAGCGGCAGTCATTCACTTTTTTAGTCCATCTCTCCATGCTCTCTCCCCCGCAACTCCTTTCCTAGCAGCGCTCCACAATTTCTCTACATTCAGTCTCTTTAGCCCAAAAAGCTTCGAACCTGAATAGTCTTTTACCCTTGCCACAAACAGGTTTGCCTTGGACAATAATCGGGTTATGATTTGAGCCCAAAACAGTACCATGGATAGCACCGGTATTAGGCCAGCAATCCATCCATTGCTTGTTCACTAAACCCCGGTCTAACCTTGCCTTCACCAGTTGACCATTGCGAGTTCCTCTCTATGTGAATTTCGATCCACTAAACTCTAAATCCATTAATTCCATACGGTTCATGAACTCCCCCAAGTATCTATACCGATTAAGGAAGACCTCTGCACCACCCGCCTTCTTCCAATCCCACAAGAAGTCATTGAAATCACCTCCACCGATCCAAGGGGTGATAGATGGGGAGAAGTCATTGTTCATTCCTTGCCAAAAATCCCCTTTCTCAGCCCTATAGGACTTCCCATAGACCCCCGTGAATCTAAAACTACACTATGACTCAATAACTCCACATTAGGCATCAATGAAGAATTTTGAAGAATCCATAGTGTCCACCTCAACCGATTCATCCCACCATAAACTAAGTCCACCAGCCTTTCCAATAAGATCCACATTATAACCACCCGAGTATTTCAATTGTCGATTTGGCAGACAATGTCTCGCCTATCTTTTCCTTCTTAGTTTCAGGGACAAATAAGATTTCACTCTTGTGTGGAATTTATCCTCAACATCAATCAACTTATTTCAATAACAACTAACGTGAATTAAGTCATTTGGTCATAATAGTTTGTCTGATATATGCATTCAAATTCCAATTATCAGTCATTCAAAAATTTGGAGAACAACTTACATACATATACACTTCCAAACATTCAGATAACTTACATTACATACATGCACACCCCAAACCATTTAGACAAAAACTTACATATATTTATTTCATTGATACGAAACGTCACTGTAACGATTTACCCATGTCTTATAAGCAATTCTCGTAAATTAGAATAATTTACTATAAAAATAAATAAAATAAAATAAAACAGAGAAGAAGAAGAAGAAAAATAAATAAATAAATAAATAACCTCCAACGACAGACCAACTACTGTAAGAGCAGTTCCACCGGAGGGCTTTTTGCCCAGCACCCAGTTGAAAAAATAGGCTAGCACCCAGTGAATCCCCTCCAGCCGACGCAATTGACTGGCGCCCAGCCCAAGCTGGTCTCTAGCCCAGTCCAAAATTGACTGAGGCGTGGCCCAGTCCATCTGACGCCAGCGTGGCGTCCGACGCTTGGAACCCCGTCCCGATGCTTCGAACTCCGTCTCCGGCGAGGAAGATGGCTGGACGACGCTACCTTCGAGGACGAGGCTGCCGACCCAGAACTTCCTGTTGAGGACGAGCTGGTCTTGGAAGCTGTTGAGGACGATGACATCAAATCCGGCGATGCAGCTGAAGGTCAGGGCGTAGGTCCAGAGGCGGCGGGTTTGGAGCTGGCGAGCCCAGGCGCCGATGTCAACTAGTTTGGGGCGGGTCAGACCGCGGAGGGCGGTGGAGAGGAAGCGGAGGGTGAAGGGGAGGTGGAGATTTGATGGAGGGTGGAGATGGGGAGGGTGAGAGAGAAGGCTCACGGTGATGGTGAAGGAGAGAGAGGGAGAGAGAGCTCACTGCCAAATTATTATTTTTTATTATTTTATAATAAAAATAATAATATTTTAATAAAATGGACTAGGCTATTTTTTGTTAGGGGTGGAAATGCTTTGACCTATTACTGTTTATATGGGTTTATTACTGTTCACTGGAGTGAATAAATGCGCTGAGTGCTAGCACAAAGTCCTTCGGGGTGGACTTGCTCTAATAATAAATGCACCCAACCGAGTAGCTGCTTGGCTTCCTTTCCAATAGAGCAATCTGTAGATGAAAGAAATAATCAATTTTGTACTGAGTTTGTTGGATGGTTGATTTCCCTGGTGTGTGTGAGAGAGAGAGAGAGAGAGAGAGAGAGAGAGAGAGAGAGAGAGATCAGAAATGGCGCGGGCAGGTGGGATAACAAACGCAGTGAACGTAGGGATAGCGGTCCAAGCCGATTGGGAAAATCGCGAGTTCATCTCCCACATTTCTCTCAACGTCCGCCGCCTCTTCGATTTCCTTGTCCAATTCGGTAATTTCAACCCCCTCCTCTCTTTTGTTCTTTACCTTGACTTACTTGCGCTGCTTTCATGGTTATTGCTGAATTTTGTGCTGACCCATCTGAGATTTGGACTGTTTTTACAATCAAGTTTATAGCTTTGGTCAATTTGCTGATTAGGGTTTCTATGACTTTTGAGATTTGGGGCTGATTTTAGACTATCATACATATCCAATTTGTTTTCATGGCATATTAACTTGAACCGTAGCTAAAATTGCACCTGGTTTTACCCAAGATTTGGTTCTAATTTACCCGATTTTCGATATCTAAATAGTTAGAAATGAGAGTTAACATGTGCCGGATTGGATCTCCGAATCGAAGGAATGTGGCGTTGTTAATCATCTTGTACAAGCATTATGCTTTTGTTTGACTCATCTCTTCTTCTTGCAGCCCTACTTGAATCTTTGCTTTCATGCATTGTTTGAACAACTAGTTTTCCCCGACTTCAACCTAATCGTTTATTATGTTCGGAAATGATTTTTCCCTTGCCTATTTTTGTCCCATGATTCTGTTTGATTTATCCAATCCAAAGGTTGAAAATAAGCAGGGGTCTGTAAGGGGAGAATAAGGGTGTGAAAATCAGTTCCCTGTTACGTAATCATTTAGTTTGCCGGAATCTTTGCATCTGGTTTTGAATCTGCTTTTCTGCTTTTGGTATGTTGGTTAGATTTAGGTTGAAATGTTTATTAGACAAAATGGAAATTTCTCTTCTTTTGGGAGGTGGGTTGGATTACATTCCTGGACTAATTCTTGTTTTTCTTGTTATTTAAGAGGCCACAACAAAGAGCAAATTGGCGTCGTTAAACGAGAAGCTTGATGTATTGGAACGTAAGCTAGAACTTCTTGAAGTTCAGGTGGGTACTGCATCAGCCAACCCTTCGCTTTTTGCTCGTGATGCTTAGCGAATCATGCCATTGTCATAGACTATAGTGTACACGGGTTTCCTGTAAGCATTCCTCCTGTCTATAGTGTGGACATGAACATATTTCTTCGCCTTGTAACGCAGTTCAAAATCAATCTATTCGTTTCTTCTGGTTTTATTCGAGTAGAAGATGTATCATTGTTTGTCGTAAGGTTATTTTGTGAATTATACGCTTGAAACAAAGCATGCTCTGGTTAGAATCTTTTATTTTCTCTTAGAATTACATCCATGGAAGTATTTTCTTTTCCTCATTACTCAATGCGCATTCCGTAGACATGGAAAAATTTAATCCGTCCACTTGCTCACTTCCCATATAAGGAGTAGAAAACCAAAAGGAAGAACATCAAGAAGTAGAAACAAAAGAGAATTTCTTGAGAGAAAAGAAGTCCATTCAAAGCGTCCAATGCACACCAGGTATGCATTGGGGCTTACTCTAAGATTAAGGGCTTGATGATCCCTTGCAAGACGTTGAGTAATTCCCAATGCATACCTTGTACGCACTCGGCAAGTGCTGACACCTAGGAAAGTCTATCATTTTAGGCAAAATGTAATGAGCGTTACGTAGATTCCTTGAATGTTAAAGGGTAAGCAACATATATTACACATGAAGGTGCACAATTTCAAAAAGAGCATTTGGAAATTACCCTAATTTTCTCCTTTATCACTTATGCCAAGCAACAAAACAAATCATTCACAAACGGATGCAAATCTCATAAAAACCATTCACTATCTTGGCTCTGGAGGAGCCATTTGTGACAAAATAGATGACGGTTCTGAAGGAGTGGGCGGCGGAATCCTCCTCTCCATCACCATGGAAAAGCGATTGGATCCCGAGCTCTCTATGGATCTCATGTATTCTGATGCGTTGTTCTCTATAATCAGAGCATCCTCTAGCTCCCTTACGATTTCAATCATGTTTGGTCGTGAAGCGGCAAAGGGCTCAATACATGACAATGCCACCTCCACTACTCTCCACATGGCCTCGGCATGGTACGCTCCTTTTATGTTCGGGTCAACAATTTCATCAATCTTTGATTCCCTTACATAGGGTTTTGCCTGCATGCAAAGCTCTCTTTGTTAGTTTTCATTTCTTCAGTATCTTCACAATTATATTTAATCTTCGTGGAAGAAAGAAAAGGGTTAAAGTCTTTGGCCAGTATGGGAGAATGTAGAGTGATGCAAAAGGTCAATGAGCTTTGCGTAAAGCATCTTAGGAACACTAATTGGATCGTCACATGATCAAACATACCCATTCAACCAAACTCCACTCGGGCCGTGGCCTGTGTATGTTCAGAGGTTCCCGTCCGCTAACAATTTCAAGCAGAACAACGCCAAAGCTAAAAACATCACTTTTTGCTGATAGATGATGAGTCATGTAGTACCTGAATAATAGAAAATTGACATGATCAGGTTCTGGTAAATGTTTAAAAGTAACTCAACTAAGGTTTTTAATGCCAGATTTGATTATTATGTTAATTTTTAAGTATTTTATCTGTTTTATCACTTCGCATTGCTCCTAAAATATAAACAGGAAATACTATAATATGGTTTCATATTCTGCTATTTAGATTCGAGAATATCGTAATTTTCTCTATCTCATTCTTCTCTTCGAATTCCTCTTTTCCCTCCACAACCTCTCTTTGATCTTCCTCTCTCCTTTTTGTATCTCATTTCCTTTCTGTCCTACCTTAACTGATATCTGAGTGCTCTTGTAGTTCAACATATCTATAGTCTATACCAGTTGTGAATATAAACCAAAATAAGATACTTTTAAAAGCCCAAGAAAATTTCAAAGTAAACAACTTAGGTTGAGGAGACAATCTTACTCCGGATCCAAGTATCCCGCTGTCCCTCTTACTTCAAGAGAAGCACAACTGTCACCTTCTTGAGGAGCGTATTTTGAAAAACCAAAGTCCGCCACCTTGGCAGTCATGCTATGGTCCAGAAGTATATTACTTGATTTCACATCCCTATGTATAATGCAGCGACCAGCAAAATTGTGAAGATGCGTCAAACCTGAACAGTGAAAGTACTCATCAGAGGTTTTGATATTCTAAATGCTCTCAGGAAAAAGATGGTGAAATCAATAAAACAACCAGAAATGAGGTTATAACATGAGGAAAATTTAGAGTTGGTATGCCACAAATATAAAATGCTACTAAGTAGAACTTCACCAAAGCCAGACCAAAATCCCAAAGCACAAAATGAGTTGCCAAATTTCAGGTCCTTCAATATATGGAGGTCCGACGATAACAAGTATCAATCCATGGTTATATATCTATTCTGCACATTCAGACCTTACAAGTTTACGAAAAATGCATCCGTATCAATATGCTATTCATTTATTTTTTAATGAGTAAGGGACATTCGCATGCCATGTAACAAATTCATCAGGACTTCATGCTCTGTTCCCATTTTCAGAGCCTAGGAGTAGAGCATAAAAATACGGCTGAATATGCTAATAGTATCAAATACTCTATAACACTTGCCTCGAGCAGCACCAAGAGCAATTGAGAGTCTGGTCGGCCAGTCCAGAATTTTTCTTTTTGCTGCTTCCCCTGAAAATAATAGGTTTTCAGTAATTTTTTATTTTGATATTTTTTTAAAAGAACATTAAACGGTATTAGTCGAAAGAAATAGTGACGTGATCAGTACCATAGAGACGATCCTGTAATGAGCCATTGGACATAAATGGATAAACCAGAATTTCTTGGTCATTTTCGCAACAATAACCGAGAAGGGGCACGAGATTCTCATGGCGAATAGCTGACAGAAGATTTAGCTGTGAAGTACATTAAAAGAACTGTCATTTACATTTTAAGGCATATTGAAGTCACAAATGACGGTTGATTATGGCAATATATAGAATAGTGATGAGGAATCTAGGTATAGATGGGAACGCTATTACCACACCCAAATTGTTTAACCCACCCTCAATACTGGCACTCTCACATTTTAGAAGAATAAAGGGACACAAGGATATTTCAAGTATCAAAGAGTAACACCATTACCACGCCCAAATGGTAGATAATAGTAGGACTGTTGCATAAAATAATGAAAAGCTATAACCGGAAATGGTTAAAAATAAAAATAGAATATCCAACCTCATTCTCAAATTCCCGAGTTCCTTGGGTTGATGTCGCTGACCGGACCTTCACTGCCACTTCCTGACCATCAATTAAAGTGCCACGGTAAACAGACCCAAAACCTCCTTCACCTATCAATGTTTTGTACCTTTGGGTAGCAGCCTCTATGTACTCAAGAGTAAATGTCTCTATGGATATCGACTTCATAACCAGATCATCCATGCTCGGTAACGAAAAAATTAAATCTGCAGTTTTGAGGATTTCTGTATTCAGAGGCTGCAGATTTAAAAAAGACAAATACAATCTCCACAAGTGCCTCAACTAGCCTGACCGTGAAAAATGTCTTCACTTTGCAGTTAATTAACACACCCATTGTTTTTTCTTTACTGAATGTGGAAAGATATGTCAATCATGTCCCAGGACAGTCATAACTACACTTGATGAATTAAGGGCATGTTTCATATCCTTATACATTCCGTCGTAACTAATCTAGAAGCTATATACCAGAACAGTCATAACTAGATTAACTTGCAAAATCATGTCCCCAAACAAGCTAGCAAAGCTTGTAACCTTCTGACAAGCTTACATAGACTAAATGTGTTGAAATCTCAAGTTATCTATACTTTATGTATTAAAACTAGTTCTGATTCATTATACTAATAATTATTGTAAAATAAAATTAAAATAGGATTTCGCGTTTCAAGATTTATATGAAAATTCACATTTGTAATACAGTGTAAACATCGAATACAACATATGATTAATAGCATTAATATTAATGCTAGTTAGAGTCCACTATAATTGTCGTCTGACTTGTATTAATTTAACCTTAAAAACTGCAAGAACTATTAGAAAGCAAGAATTTTTTATTTCCTTTTATTGTGGTGGGGACAAATTTCAGATGAGCAATTTATTTTTATTTTTATTTTTTAATGTCAAAATAAAAACAAAGTTGGTTGTTCCTAGAATCTTAGGGATATGTTTGGGTGAGGGATTTCCATGTCATGGGATTGAAACCCAATTAATGAAAGAAAAGATCACAAATTGTAGGATAGGAGGGATTAGGAAGTGCATAATATGAGCATTACAAAGGCATATGAGCGGAATTAGCTAATCCCTCATTGGAAGGTGTTATTCGCAAATCCCTCTTACATGCCTAATCCCTCCTGTTCAACATTTTGTGATTCTTTTCTTTATAATTTGGTTTACAATCCCATGACTTGGGAATCTCTCATCCAAACATAGCCTAAAAGCATAAGTGCAATACCAAGAGCAATAAAGCGTTTAATGCACTCACTCTTTGTCATATGATGTTGTTTCATATCAAATTTTCCTTGAGGCAGAAAGTGTCGTCTCCAAGTGTAGAAAATTATCCCAACTACAATGGTTAATAGTAGAGACCCAGATGCAGCAGCAGCACCAATGATGATTCGTTGATTAGAAGCTTCTTGAGCACTGCAACTTTCTTGGCTGTAATATAGAGAAACAAATTTCAGAATTTTTTTAAAATACTTTTTAGTTATTCTTCAATTAAAAAATTTCATTCGGATGGATAGACAATAAAAATCACACCCCGTGGTAAGTGTTGAGCCATTGAAGCTGGAGGGAATATCTTTTGCGACATGAGGGTTGCACCTGATATTTCTGTCGATGAACCACATGGAAATGAATTTATGGAGGCATGTCTAATGTTATGTAGCTAAACTTGTTTGCGACAAAGAATATAAAAGAGCTTACAGTATATCCAAATGTGGCAGTGAGATAAGAGATGTTGGAAGTGATCCCCCAAGGTCATTGAAGCTCAGATCCCTAATGATATGAAGGTAATCAGGGATACAAAAAACAAAATCGGAAATGAGTCATGCAGAGCTATGACTGTTCAGAATACCTAAAATTGAAGAGAAGTACAGAAACAACAACAACAACAACAACAAAGCCTTTTCCCACTAAGTGGGGTCGGCTATTTTGTCTAAACTATAAAATTAAAAAGTGAAATTGAGCAGCTAGTCTTAACAACTTTTTTTTATCTAAACTATAAAATCAGAAGATCAAACATCAAAGTCCTCATCACATTATCTCCAAAAGATAGTACCAGAAAATAACTACAACTTTTCAACTTCTATTTTAGTAGATATTTTAGAATTTCACATGGTATGTTTTCATGCAAGTATACAAATTGGAAATGTGTCAATGTCCTTGTAAATTTAGTATCAACACAATATCCGGGATGTTATCTTCCTAAGCATGCCAAACACAGGTATGCCACAATTGATCCATGAAAGAAAAGGACACTTTCCTACAGATCAAGGCCAGATTTATGGATTAAGCCAGTTTAGAAAGCTTTACGTTATTGGCTTATGTCATGCCATATTTAGGGATTATACAATGGCAGTAAGTAACGGTAGTAGGTAACATATGGAGGCCTTTCCTATACATCACACCGTGACCTTAAATGACTTTACCGAAGCAATACAAGCTGTTCGCAATTTTTAGACCAATCTCTTCTATTAATAAATATTCCAAATGTTAGTATTCCATGGCTGGAGTTGGATAACAATTTATTAAATCACCAACTGAAACTGCCATTCAAGACTGAATTTGAAAGAGAAATCTACACTGAGGTCAACAGGGAGGAAGGAAGAAATGCTGGAATGTTGCCAGTAAAGTCATTGTGGCTAAGGTTCCTGCACATCACAAACAAAAGAAAGCAATACATTGAAATAAGAGTTATAGTTACTCGGTCAAGTGCAACATAACAAAACCCAAAGGGTGCTTCAAACATACAGGACTCTTAGATAGGTCAGCTTAGTGATACTTGAAGGAACTGGCCCTTTAAGAAAGCCCCCCCTCTGAATACCTGACGATAGATCCCTGAAATTCGAAATCATGAGCAAAGTTATATGTGAAATACCTCTAAGAAAGCAAAAGCAATTAATCTAATGAATTATCAATTTCCGGTGAAAGCTGATAACTGTCTTCTTTTACCTACGTTGCAATCAAACCTTTTTTAGTAATTTAACAAGAACCTAAAAAATCATTATCAAATATTCTATGTTAAACTTATTATGGTTTTTAAGGAATTTATTACAATTCTGGATTTATAGTCTTTAACAATACATTTTTGTCGAAAAACCCGATAAAACTTCACTCCCAAAGCATCCCACAGCACTGAAAACTAGTATAATTCAATACAAATGCCATATTCTCATGATTCCATGAAAGCTATTTGCAGAACTTCTCAGAAAATGGAAACAAATAACTTACAATACAGTAATGACAGCATAACCAGCAACGGATTCACAAGTAATACCATCCCATGGAACTGGAAGACATGGATCTCCAGACCACCCTTCCCAAACTTCACTCTCTTGGTTACTCTTCAGCACCTCATTTCTCACCTCCAAAATCACTTCCACTGTAAAAAAAAATTGACAGTGATTAGAACACTCAATTAATTACTACAAACACCCAATTGGAAGCTACAAAAGTCCAGTGAAAAAAACCCAGCTTACCATCACTTTTATTAGTCTCTGGACGCCATGGAAGTACCTGCAAGATCTCATAAGCATTGCAAATGGGTCCATTTTCCGACCCGGAGACCTTAACCAGAGTCAAATTCAGAGACCCATTTGCCGTGACAGTGAAAGAAAGCTCCTTGTAGTTGGACCCATTTCCCGAGACGTCAAATCTCCGCTTTTTCAGCTCATCGTTGAGGAAAATGTCGAACACCCTCTCGCCGGCTTGGACCGTCCGATCGACCTCGTAGAAGTAGAGGAACACGAGGTACTGGTAACTTTCTGTGGGAAGGCCATTGTGGAGAAGGAGCAGTCGGTCTGGAGCCGCTAGAGCTGTTTGTAGTACTTGCACGGGCGGAGACGCGGTGGCGTTGCCGGAAATGGAGACGTTGGGTTGTGATATGTGATAGGTTCCGGTTCCGGTTCCTGGGTCGGCACTTGGATTTGATTTCCAAATTCTGTCACTCGTGTCATTTGGGTACCTAAAAATTACCAGCCCATAAAATACAATAGGAGAGCAACTTTACACTTTGTGTTGTTTCGATTTAATAATATATAATTAAATAATAAATATAAAAATAAGAAAAAAATATTGACTTAACCAACTAATCTAATTCATATTTGCCGACGTAATTGTACTTTCAACTTTTAATTATGGAAAAAGTTTCTAAAAGACATTCAACCTACATCATTTACTAATGTAATGATATGTAAAACATGATTATCATACACAGTATGTGACATGTCATGATATCTTATATTAACAACGATTTTGTTCAAGTGATTAGACTCGTTGTATCGGATAATAATGTGGTATGACAATTCTATCCAAATTTTTGCCTCTTTGTACAGGTTATTTTTTATTATACTTCTACTCTAAATACTAGATTAAGGGGAGAAATAATGTTTGAATCTGGGACGTAGTAGGCTAAAGAATAAGATTCTACCCATTAATTGTGCATAAGTTAATTGAATGTTGAGGAAATAATGGAATACGGAGTGTCCTATAATTTCTTGTGACACATTTGAATTCGTTAGAATAATATTTACAACTTAATGTGTCCATAATACATTAATAGTAATGTATATGAGACATAAGAGCATACATTCCATTTTGTATACGATTCCTACATGCCATTGTTTCTTTTGTTAATATTACAATATCCTCATTTGTAGATGCATGGGAGCGTGTCACATGTCACGAGTCACCAATAGCATAAAGAAGTTTACATGTGGGTTTATCTACTTGCGTTTAGCATAATTTAAAGCACTAAACTCCTTTTAAATATGTGTAACTAAGCAGTCTAGCACATAAACTAAGGTATGTATTTCAGTTTTGATGATTGAAATTTGTGAATTAAGAAGACATAATCATTGTTTTCAGGTACTAATTTTTATTTAATTACACATTAAGCTAACACCCTTGTTCCTTGGCTTTGAAGAAATCAAATAGAAGGCATACCTGATATCATCTTTTGTAATTGCAAAACTATTTCTTGTAACCAATTTCAGAACGCTTGAAGGGAAGTCCTCTAAATAATATTTCAAATTCTGTAGAGGCCTCAACTCAAGCTCTGAAATATAAGGAGCTCCCTTGCCATACACCAAGCACAAGTATGTATTGTCCTCGGTAGCCCGAAAAATCCCTTCAACCACTGCTGAGTCCTCCGATGAATCTACGACACTAATTGGGGTCACACCAACCGAAACTGAAAAACTAGAGCTCCAAATGTGTCCAAATAGAAATGTAGCCCTAATCAGATAGTCTTCACCCTTTTCTGTTGATAGCTTATAACATCTTTTCTGGCCTGAGTTTTGGTAGAATGCTCTACTTCTGTTGTAACCGGAATAGTCTGCCTCTGACTGAATTGTGTGACAGCCTGTGGCATTCGGAAACTGATTATAGTCCGATATCCAACTAATGTTTCTGCTATCCGTGTAATTCGATTCAGTGCAGCACGCAATGCTCACAAAACTGCCTGCATAACGAAGCAGATACTACATCAATTCTTGTTAAGAACATTGGGGTTGAAATTAAACCTACTCCGGAACATGTTAGGAAGAATCAAATTATATGTGACTAAATTCCGGAAACCCTAGTTTCAAATCTTCGAAAAGATCTGCCGTTGCGAAATGTTAGGTCATTGATCTCCAATATTATGACATGAGAAAAATCAATATGTTACAAGAGTTGACTCATTTTCTTTCTACCTAATTTCTTGATCATATCAGAAGGTTTGAAACTGTCTCACAGGATTAAATATGGATCAAAGTTAGTACACTTAAAATACAATTATAGAATCATGTACAAAACTGAAAACCATAATTACTATGTTAATCTCTTGATGATGGTCATGAATTTCATTTGTATGCTTACCTTCATCTGCAGAAGTGGATGGAACAAGAATCAAGAGGCAGATGATCGAAAACTCGATTAGTCTTAAAACCCAATAATCAAATTCCTTCATCATTTTATCTTAGGCCGACGTCGCCCCATTTGGTAATCAAACTCATAACCATGCCAACATTTATGACCCTTTTTTCAAATTCCACCAACTATACACAACAAGCTCTTATAAATTTCATCAAAATCACCCGCTTTCCGGCTTGCGAAATTCCTCACCTCAGTCAACTTGACCGAGATCTTCGACTAATTTCCACCAACTTACATGTAATTAGTAAAACAAATTAAGCATCATGATCGTGGCTGAAAAATACACACATGTGACAAACTTGTACATGTAGCAAGGATATTGAAGCTGCAGAGACAAAAGAGAATCAAAAGGGTGGGGTGGATAGGAGAGGGAAGAGATCTGGGAAAATGGTTTGACTTGTAATGTGGAGGAGCAGCGCAAAACCGAAGAACAAGGAAGAAGAATGAGTGTTTCTGGATTAGAATAATACAATGTTTAATCAAACAATTATTTAAAAAATTATTATAGTTGTTTCTTATACTGGTGGATGATGCTTATTATAAATTCTACAATTAAACAAAATGTTTTTTAATAACAAGGTGGAGCAACCCTTCGTCTGTCTCCTTGTCTGTTACCATGGACGCAACATCACAGAAGTTGGGTTTTGGCTTTCTCCGGTTAAAAACCATATTGTATTTTAATATTGTTAATTTTTTTAGTACAACGATTGCATTGGTGGTTGAATAGTTAGTTTTTAGGAGTTGGGGGGTGGAATCAGCGGGATCGAATTCACACTAAATGACATATGCATAATTGCGTTCCGCTAATGCGATAAAGCACTATGTGCAGATGCTAAGTTAATTATGTAAACGTGAGGTCAATGCTTGCTATATTTAATTTTCCTTTTGTGCTAATGCAAAAGTTAAGAGATTTATTACCTTTATCAACAACAATGGTAACTCATTAACTAGTTTTCAAATGTGTTTTCCGGTACATATTATGAAAATTGCTAAAAACATCTCTAAATGAGATGTCAAAATATTCAAATCAGCACTAACAATCAAGAACGGCAAAAACAACATTTTCCAACTGAAAAGTGAATTTTGATGTGCATGACATGGATTGGTAATGATAATTGCTCAAAAGTGCATGTCTAATGCGCTTTGATTATACCCGTTACATGTTTTTCTCTAGTAATTTATCAAATTTGTGCTTTATCATGTATAATTGGTCAAATAGGTTTTATATCTAATTTGTTTTAATTTTTGACTGATGGTATATTAATGTTAATGTGCAAGACTATGAGAATGTTGCAAGGCAATTAAAGGGTGAGGCACAAGACAATAAATTGGTGATTAACACTATGTCGGTTACCGAAAAGAAATGAAGAAAGGAGAAGGCAAAGAAGAAGAAAAGAAACGGCCAGACATTACCATTTCAATATGGCATTAAGGCTTATCAATGACCATTATTCAGAGGGTTATGAGGATTGGCATTAACATATTCATAATGGGTTGATGAATGACCATTATTCAAGAAGAATATGAAGGGAGGTTGGCTGTGGCAGTAGCTTATATAATCTCCATTTGATTGTTTTCCAAATGAGCCGGCTCTTTCATAATTTTAGACATTTCTTTTTCTATTTAGTTTATGGAGAACTAATCCCCCTAGCTAAGGCTAGGGGGGCAACCTATATTACGATTATGTAGTTTTATTATTTCGATTCTATTTCGGAGTTTCAATGTCAATTTTACATTGTGGATTTTCAACGGAATTTCTTATTTATTCTATTTTCGGATTGATGAATGTTGGTTATGATTCATAGGTTTAATCATGTTTTCCTATAGTTTGTTTCACATTCATGCTTTTACTGAATTGAATAAATTAGTAGATTGGTACGATTTCGACAGAGTAATTTCTTAATATTTTTTTGCCTTAGGTACAAATTATATTTGGGATTATTTCTATAAGAAATTGAATGGGCATTTTGTTTTGAATAGCTACAATGAAAATCACTTTTCAAGAAGTTTTATATGAAGTTTTATATGAGGAAAACTTAATTGCTATATTTTCCGGTTGAGATCACTTCTTGCTGGCATCTCAGTTGAGTTATAAAAAGAAATCGAAATAGTGAAATTGCATTGTTGTATATGGGTGGAACCCTGATGCTTTAGTGTTTTTAATTGTTGAACTTTTCTTCTATAAGTTACATCTCATTCGATATTGTTCTTTGTTTCAGTCTTGATAATTCTGCATTCTTTTTCAACGCTCTTTGAGGAATACGACACTCGGACTTCAAGTTTATACTACTACGCGACACCTGCACTTGGGTTTAGCAAGCAAGCAACCCTCACCCTTAGTGCCAAAATTGACAGCAACTTCAAATCTATGTCAAAATGCCACATAAACTATCAAATTAAACTTTATATTTAAAATTTAACATCTCAGGATGCTCTAATTGATGAAAAGAGATTCAACTTGAAGAGGGTCAAGCCTTTGAAAAGGCACTCTCCATACATGTCGTCAACTTTTCTTCTAAATTATGGCATCATTTTGGTAAGAAAAAAAAACATAGTATAGTATGATTTCATTATTTGAATTGGATTTGTCTCCAATTATTTTATATTGTATGAAAACAGAAGGAGTAAATTCATATTAAATATCGGTTTTAATATGGTGATAAGGAAAAATATGAACTTTAGGAAAAACTACCAAGCACAATCCATTGGTTGTTAGCGTTAACGGAGCTATTTTCGTTGCAAGTGGACACGGTGAGCACTCGGTTGCAGTATGAGTAAGAATTTGGTTCTCAATGAAAGTACAAATTGTTGAAATCAAATTTGTGCACTGCAGTAGACGGAGGAGTGCAAGAACAACCATTTGCAAAAGAGAGACATGAACCGTGAATCCCTAAGGTAGTGGTATGGTACCCGCCAAAGGTTCTCCAACAGTCAAGGTAGTAATGGTCTTAGAACTCAAGCAGTAGGCTAGAGAGCGAGAGAGTGATATGTAGCAGAGTGCACGTTATCAATGCACCTTTGATGAGCCCTAAACTAGTATATTTACAGTGATTGGGTGAGAGTCCTTTTAGGATAATGAATCCATGTAAACCAGGAGAATCCTAGCCTGTATCTAACAATAGATATTCTTTCCTTACAAGATTGTAATTCCTTGAGGCTGAATCCAATATCTATATTGTAGGAATCTCCAAGATCATCAAATACCATTCAGTCGAAACGAATGTCGTGCCTTACAGAGCAAGCATGGTCATTCTTGAGAAAACTTGCGGGCCTTACCAACTAGTATAGAACCCAATTGGGTGTGGTGGTACCATTGGTCCGTTTATACTGTTAGTCCAATCGAAGCCATTTAAACAAGGGAACTTTAACGAAAAGCACCCGGTACTGTTCACTTTAACGAAAAACCACATTTTTACACTAAAAAATCAATCATGGTACTATTCACTTTACCCTTTATTTTGTCCTTATCATTAAAACTCAAAGTTTTCAAGCCATTTTCATTAGTTTGGTTCAGGAAAATTCATGGCCCCACACTTGCAAAGCTTAGAATATTTCACTTAAATATGTACAACTTATAAGTTTTGAGTCAAAATTTGGAAATTGCTTTTGAAACAAAAAAGTAAGTTGGGGAAAATTTGTATTAATCAACAAATTCCTCTCTTTTTTTAGGTGACAACGGTAGAAATTTTATTAAAAATTAAGCGTTACAATCTTCAAGTAAAACATCATGAATAATATCCAGATGTTGGGTAAATAGAAAAAAAACTCAACATCATAAAAAAGGCTAACTTGGCTAATCTATGAGCCATAACGTTAGCAAAGCTTCATGCATGAATGATATAAGTGAATTAGGGATGGAAAAACCGTCTTGACAGAAAGGAAAGTGGAGGTTCCATGGCTGAGTTGACGACCACTAAGCAAGCTTTCCTCTTTCTTCTAGGGTTGTTTTCTGACCAGGGGGCTGAACCCCGCCTTTCACTTATTAATCTTATTAGGTGAAATATGAGTTTATCTTTGCTCCCCCTTAAACATGTTGTAAATTATATACAAAAAACATTAAAGAACAATGATTGGGCAGAATGTTCTACTACATATTATGTATACCAAATGAAAAAGATTCCGGGCTTATAATCTGTTTGACCGTTGATTAACATCAAAATATTAATTAAGCAAAATCATTAACCTAAAGAATAGTACCCCTTTGCTAATGCCGACCGTGACCTATGAACTATGACTAAAGCCATGGATTTTGATTTTATATGGGTCAGACAATTTATATATTAACTATTAAGTTGTAGTCTGGTCTTCTGTGCACAGCAACGTGTGGGTTCGATGCCTCCAACACATTGCTCGCATATCCAAAGCATCAACTTTGTTTTCACAAAACAAGTATTAAACTTTGTCAGTTCTCAATATAATTTGGCCAAAACATTGACAGGGTAACATTTCTTTTGGTTTGTTCCCTCTACTATGTAATTATTTTTCTTTTTATTTAGACTGTTTGACATGTTTTGTTTATCAAATTAATTTCAGATAATATATTGATGCATAATTTCACCTAAAAGTATGATGATTTAGAGTTTGTAATCTCTTTACACATTTCAACAAGCAGTTTCTTTTCGTTCTTATTTTTCGTTGACGAAGAAAGAAAAACCAAACAACTGTGTTTCCTGTTGTTACTAATTCATGTGGTTTACATTTGTTACCAATATGCTACACGCACCACCAGTCTCCTGCAATTGGACATAAAAACAATCTATTGCAGCTCTAAACATAATTTCAAATATTAAGCAAAAGAAGCTAGCAAGAGAAATTAACAGTTCACTTTCACAAATCATAACTTAGAAAAGCAAATTGATCTACATGATGATCACACTCTCTTGTCCCTCTGTGATTTCTCTCTACGTCCTCTGGTTCTTGGACGCGAAACGAATGACTAAGTAAAACAAAACCCTGTATAGAACAGTCATGCCCAACATTATGTACACCTTCTCCCATTTCTTTACTTCAGAGAGGGTGTGTTGTCCGCCGTAATCTATGCGAAGCCCTTCCAAGATGTCGAAACCGGTAATGTTGGTCCCGTCAGAGTTTTTTCCAAAAGTATCGTCAGTTTGGTACTGATTCATTATAAGCCCTTCATATGGATATGTCATGGTGGAGACTTTGTTCATCCATACCCAGTAGCCAGGGATGTCATGGCTATTCAAGAAGTAGCCACAGAACAAGAAGAACAACGCAGTGAAGGCAATGACGGCTGCATATCCCAAGATGTAATTGGGCACAACTGAGCTGACAAACACCACAAATGAATTGGTTGAGAGGAGAGAAACATAGAGAACCACTAAAAAGTATATGAATGGCCCTCTAAGTCCCAAGGCAAACCAAACAATGCCAGCGTAAACAGATGCTTGCAACGCAAGAAAGGGGAGATATGTTACTAGGCCTGCAATTGTGTATGAGGAGGCTCTGTAGGTATTGTGAGCAGTCTCACGGACGAAGATGAAGCGCTCTTGGATGAAGGCTGGGACAGCGTCGTTTGATGAGAAGAAGAAGAGGCAGACAGTGAAGATGAAGAAACTGAGGCGATTGGTTATGCCTTGACTGGTATCTGGTGGGTGTAGGAACATGGTGGCCATCAAGAAGCCCATGAATGTAAGGACTACCAGTCTTGAGAGGAAGAGCTCGGGCGTCCGCCTGATGTTGATGAAGTTACGCCTCATGAGAATCCAAGTCTCCGGGAAGAATGAGTTGGCGAATTTGGGACCAAGATGGTGGTATGACTTGGTGTTTGGACCAAGATCTGGGGTCCGATAGTCATTTTCGTCCACTGTGTAGTCACTGCTATGGGGTGTTGGTGTGCTTGGAAGAATCTCACTCGAATAGTTGTAGCCTGGAGATGCACTGCAACATAATACAATGCGGTTTTATTTAGGCTTTGAGACATCAAATTTTCAATTAAGCATAAAAACCTGAGGAAGATTCTGATCAACTATTGACAAATGTGATTAATTCGGTGGAAAAAATTAATCACGCATATGAAATATACTCGACCCCCAAAAGCGTAAAATGCGGACACTATAAGTGCATAGATCTCTGGTATCATGTAAGACAACTATTCAAGCTTAATTGAATGAGAACCAACGTAAATTAATCCAACAAATTTAGCATCAAATTTGAAACATGACTTTTTTTATGTTGACTTACCTCATGGGGCTTTGCATCTTTTGGCCTGCTCGTTGCCTTGAAGGGGTAAACATCTGCAGTTTCTGCATAACTCCACTATGGCTTGGAGTCCATGACCTTGAATTATTATTACTGTAAGGACTTCTCACACTGTGATCAAAATCATTGACTGCATGTGTACTAGTTTGTAAGTGCAGGCGTTTTCCAGACCTTCCCTTGTCCTCGAGGTCTTCACTTCCACGTCCGCCATGGCGCGGTGGTGTTGGTGTTGGCATAGCAGTCGAAAGTGACACGTCCACATCAACTAACAGCGGGGGTTTCATTCCAGTACGTGCAAATTCGGCTAGTGCCTCAACCCCGAGTTCAGACTGATCATATTGCTGAATCACATCAATGAGGTATTCGATGGGGCTCTCTTCCTTATGCACTTTGCGCCCCATTCGACCAAGGTGGGTAGCAACATCTTTTGGTGATCCTTGGTACATGAGCTGCCCTCGAGCAAGGATGATCAGATGGTCAAGAAGCAATTGAATTCTGGACGAGGGTTGGTGAATCGTGAGGATTACAGTGCTTCCACAGCGTGCGATGTGGTGCACCGTTATGTGATTTTTTGTTTTCTTATCGTATTTTTTTTTTCTCTTTTGTTCTATATATGGTGTAAGCATGTTCTGGTGGGGACCGCGGAAGAGTTTCAAAATTGGAGTGGCCATTCCATGGACCATCGATCCTCTCCTTGATGAACCCACTCTGGTCTAGATCACCAGTGCTCACATGTCATGAAAAGGTGCACCACATGACGCTGTGGAAGCACTGTAATCCACGATTCACCACTCGTAGAATAATTGCTTTGACCATCTGATAATCTTGCCGAGGCAGCTCATGTACCAGGATACAAAAGATGTGCACCACCTGGTGAATGGGGAAAAAGTGCATAAGGAAAGAGCCCATGATACTCATTGAGGTGATTCACAATATACAGTCGCTCGGGTTGAGGCACTGCCGAATTGCACGTACTGGAAAACCCCGTGTTGTTGATGTGGACGGTCACTTTCGACTGCTACAAACCAACACCAGCGCATGGCGATGGAAGTGAAGACCGAGGACAAGGGAAGTCTGGAAAACGCCGCACTTACAACTAGTACACATCATCAATGATTTGACAAGTGGTGAGAAGTCCTTAAATAAAATTCAGGTCGACTCACATGTGGAGTTAATAAACTGAAGTTTTCCCTCAAGGCAACGACAGGCAAAATGCAAAGCCCCTGGGTAGTCAACATAAAGTCATGTTTCAATTTTTGATCTAAATTGTTGGATATTTACGTTGGTCTCATCAATTAGCTGAATAGTTGTTACTGATACAGATCTGCACTTATAGTGTCGCATTACGCTTTTTGGGTCGAGTAATTTCAATGCGGTTAATTTTTCCGACGAATTAATCAATTTCAAAGTTTGATCAGAATCTCCTCGTTTATGCTAATGAAAATTGATATCCAAAGCCTAAATAACCGATTGTTTATGTTGCAGTGCATTCCAGGCACAACTATTCGAGTGAGATCTCCAAGCCACACACCCCATAGCAGTGACTCACAGTGGACGAAAATGATATCGACCAGATTTGGTCAAACACAAGTCACCCAACATCGGTCCAAATTCGCAACTCATTCTCCCGGAGATGGATCTCTGAGGCGTACTCATCAACATCAGGCGGCGCCCGACTTTCCTTCAAAGGTAGTCTTACTCATGGTCTGTGGCACCATGTTACTACCCCACCAGAACCAGTCAAGGCAACCATCGCCTCAGTTCTTCTCTTCAAGCTCCTCTTCTTCTTTCATCAAACGATGATGCCACCTTCAATCAAGAGCGCTCATCTTGAGTCCGTGAGACTGCTCACAATACTAAGACCTCCTCAACACAATTGCGCCTAGTAACATATTCCCTCTTGCGTTGCAAGCTCTGTTTACGCTGGATTGTTGGTTTGCCTTGGGACTGGGGCCATTCAAATTTTAGTGTTCTATTTCTCTCTCTCACCAATTTCATTGGGGTTGTCACCATTGGCCCAACATCTGGGATATGCAGCGTCATTGCTCACTGCGTTTTCCTGTTCTGTGAACTTCTTGAATAGCCATGACATCCTGGTACTGGGTAGGATAACAATTCTCACCATGACATATCATTGAAGGCTATAATGAATCAGTACCAACCTGACGATACTTTGGAAAAACTCTGACGGACCAACATAGGTTCGACATCTTGGAAGGGCTTTCGCAAATACGCGACAACACACCCTTGAGTAAAAATGGGAGAGGTGTCATAATTGGCATGAGTCTATAAGGGTTTTGTTTACTTAGAATTCGTTTTCGCGTCAAGAACCAGAGGACGTAGAGAAACACAGAGGGACAGAGAGGGATCATCAGTAGATCAATTTGCTTTTCAAGTATGATTTGTGAAAGTGACTGTAATTTCTCTTGCAGCTTTTTGCTTAATATTTGAAATTAGTTAGAGCTGCACCTAGATTGTTTTTATGTCAATTGCAGGAGACTGGTGGTGGTGTAAGCTATTGGTAACAAATGTAACCACATGATAGTAACAACAGGAAAAGTTTCTTTCTCGTCAACGAAAAATAAGAACGAAAAGAAATGATTGTGAAATGTGTAAAGAGATTACAACTCTAAATCATATACTTTTAGTGAAATTATCATCAATATATTATGAAAATTGATAAACAAAACTGTCACAGCTAAATAAAAAGAAAATATTAATAGTAAGGGAAACACAAAGAAAGTTTCCGTGCAGGGGGCCAAATTAGAGTGAGAACTGAAAAGTTGATGTTATTTTGTGGAAAAAAGTTGATGATTAGATCTGGAGCAATGTGTTGGAGATGAACCACACGTCTGTGCAGAAGACCAGACTACAACTATAGTTAATATAAAATTGTCTGACCCATTAAATCAAATCCATGGCTAGTCATAGTTCATAGGTCACGGTCGGCATAGCAAGGGGTACTATTCTTAGGTAATGAGTTGCTTAAATTAATATTGATGTTAATCAAAGCAACAGATTATAGCCCGAAGCTTTTCATTGGTATAATAATAAGTGTAGAAATCTGCCTATCATTGTTCTTTGTTTTTTTGTATATAATTTCACATGTTTAAGGGGGCAAGATAAAGTCATATACACTAATAAGATTAATAAGTGAAGGCGGGGGTCAACCCCTGACAGAAAACAACCTAGAAGAAGAGAAAGCTTGCTTGTGGTCGGTCAACAGCATGGAATCCACTTTCCTTTCTGTAAGACGGTTTTTCATCCCTAATTTATATCTCATCATGCATGAAGTTGCTAACGTTATGGCTCATAGATTAGCCAAGTAGCTTTTTATGATGTTGAGTTTTTTTGCTAATTTACCAACATCGTCTTATTATCATGTTTACTTGAAGATTGTACGGCTAATTGATTAATATCATTTCTCGTTGTCACTAAAAGAGAGGATTGTTGATTAATAAAATTCCCAACTTATTTTGTTAAAAGCAATTTCAAATTTTGACTCAAACTATAATTGTACATTTAAGTGAAATATTCTAATTTGCAGTGTGGGGCATGAATTCTGAACCAAACAAATGAAAATGCGGTGAAAACTGTGAGTTTAATGATAGACAAAAATAAGGGAAAGGGAAGTAGGAGGACTGATTGATTTTTAGTGGTAAATGTGGTCTTTTCGTTAAGTGAACAGTACCTTGGTGCTTTCCGATGATCAAATAGGATGCAAGCTTGTGATATCTATGACAGATAGAAGTGGGTCACGCATCAGGTGAGGGAAGGGATTAAGATGTATACCTATGATGCACTGCACACATACCGAATTGAAAACTCTCCGACAGCACTCGCCACAGAAATCCCGGGGGTACCCTACATCACATATTTAGAGGTGATATGTCTAGCAGACTGCACAATAAGAGAAGAATATGGAAAAGAAAAAAATCAACTAATGTAAGCAGCACTAGAGCGTATTTCGGTAAACCAACGTAAGACAATGGACTGATACTTGAGATGTGTTGACGTTCAATGTATGGAAGATGGACCCAACACATGCTCATATATGCGCAAGGAAATAGTTTATTTTTCATTTTAGATTGTATGGGAATGTTTGCACCTTAAGTATTGACAGTATCATGAATAATCTATCTGAGAAACTATTGCCATTAGAACGCTGAAGAGAATATCACTAAAAAATATCTAACCTCCTAGATTGTGAAGATGAGTATGACTGTGTCATAGTGATCGAGCATCAGGGCGAGAATCTCTCCTTGGAAGTATAATCGAGAGAGAAGAATGTACTCGACAGTTCAATCCAAAGCTGTCAGAAAACGAAACTTTTCTCGCCACCATCGACTGACTATCCTCTTCATCGGAGTTAGAAACACGTTACCATCTCAAATCACACCAGACAATAGACATTTCAATGTCTCATGGAAGGAGCTTGTAATTGCTAAGACTGGTGGGACAAGGCTATACCTCGTCGCACATAGCATAACATACTCAAGCTCTGAAGCTCGCTTCTCTTGAGCAATGCATGGTAGCCTCATGTCTAAGTCCTCTAAGACGATCCCATCATAAGCTGACACCATCTTGACCCACCTTTGAGGACACGCCACCATTGGATACCCTAACAACGGCACGTCACCACTCCTAAAGAGAGGATCGTTCACAGCACTTCTCACATCCGGCAACCAATCTCTAGGGCTCGAGCACGTGAGTGTATTGACTCTTGCACTCTTGGCGCAGCAATATCCCTGACGCATTTGCGAACTACTTGGATTTGCTATAATTATACGATACGAATTTTTGTTATCTTTTGCATTGACAATATCCACATTTTCTCCTCTCTCACTTCCTCAGGTATCTTTCTCACTGCGTGTGAGCGAGGGAAAACTTACACAAGGCCCGTCCTCGTTGAGCAAGACGAGAGACTGAGCCGCTTTCCGCCTATAACGCTTCAATCAGTATCAGCCCGACGATCAACAGCCTAGTAACAGAGCCATGAAATGATTTAGTGCTTGGGTATTTTAGTCTTAAAAGCATACTTGAAAATATTCAATTACGACAAGCAGTGGGGTATGGTTATTTATTATGATGGAATATTAGTAGAAGAGAGCGGAACTTATTTAGTGATATTTTTTTCACCCGGCCTTGTGGTTACGCGTGATGCTTTCCCTAGCTTTTAAGGGTGCAAATGTATAGAACAGTATGGGAAGAATTATATAGAGGAGAGAGATAATTGTGCCAGGCTATATAGAGGTCATTCGATTACACGATGTTAGAATAGTCATATCAAGGAGATTAATATTCCAAAGTCTTGAGTGAGGTATATGCTCGTAACCTCATAATGATGAATGTCCAATAATTCTCACTCGTTTACTAAAGCAGAAAAGATTGGAATAGAAAGATAGGTCATTGCTTGTGAGGTATGTGTCATTCGTTTCCTATAGAAGGGCTTGTACTCGTGAGTCATAATGTGATTGTTCACATTTCATTAGAGTGTAATGTGAGATTGGCTCCTGCGAATTGATAAACTCATTGATTTATATAATTGTATGTAA